AAACTCTGACCTGAAGCCCTGCCACATAGCTGAGTTCCATACCGAACTCGTAGAAGGCAAACCCACTGCCAAATACGGTGGAGGAAGCCCATGAAGCTGTGAAGCCACCCTTGAAACCATCCAAAGGAGCAGCTGTTTTGAGAGGAGCTCTGCGCAATCTTGAACAGGAGGGGCACCAATTACGCCATCGAGCTGCCCCCTTGCAGCCCACATCAGTGCCCGGTACGCTGGACTGTCTCCCCTCATTGAAAACCTCTGACTTTTGGCAACATCAAAGTCTACCATGACTTCATGCTCCGATTCACGAACCCTAAAGTCAGGTTCTCCTTGTCGACGAAAAAGGCGAACAACCCACCTTTTCTCCATCATGGCCTTTCTAGTCCTGCGATTTACGGGAAGTGACTTCAAATATCTCCAGCCATGTTTGTCATCTAAATTCACGTCCACCGCGGCCAGGGCAAGAACACTCTCTGAAAGCTCTCCCAAAGGTGAGCCCTTTGCCAAGAGAGCAGCTAGTAGCCGATCCGTTTTTCCGGTGAGGACATACTGCTTGAACATTGCATCCCAGTCTTCCGTCTCCTGGTAATCCAAGGACCTGACAAAAGTCTCCATAGTCGCGTCCTCGAGCTCCTTTAGATGCAAATCCTCAAGCTGGGAAATGAGGTCTAAGGCTTGAGTCTCGGCCAACATCGGATGGTTGCCCTTTACGAAGGTCCTCAGGACTCCAAAGCTTGGGTGGGTGATTTTGAGACCACCCTTTCTTGTCCACCGCAAATCACAGCCCAACCTCTGAACCAAAGCGCCTAAAGGCAGAATAGGTGTCGCAGACTGAGCAGTGGGGTCATCAGCAGTGGCTAAGAGCGTTCCTGCCCTGTTTTGCTTCAAGGTCACAAACTGGCCGCCCGCCAACTCGACTCTGACAGGTACAGCCGCCTCTGATTCCCTATCTCTGGCTTGCCGGAACGCATGTGAAGCCCCTGAGTCCAAAAGCGCTGATCCCTCGGTTGGGTCCAAACCAGCCGCCTTCATACCCACCGTAAGCAGGCCCACACTCTCATCCTAGACGCCCATTTGATACACTTATTTCCGTACCTAGTTTTGGGGGTGTTCGATTGTTTCTCCAAATCTCCTCCCATAAACCAAAACCGCCCGAGATAAGGGAAAAGCGCACGAACAGATCGCACACAACATACATTTGCGCACATGCAGTGCACTGGCTTCTTTTGCCACGGCTGCTGCGGCTTCTGTGCTTCTTGACCGCAAATGGGTCACCTCCACTTAAAGGTTTGGGCAAACTGACGTCGGTACAGCATAAGGGCTCTACTTATGGTCCGACTTGCAACCGTAAAGCTGTGAGTTATACGTGTTATGCGGGAACAACGTCCCACAAAGTCCTCATCACTCCAACATGCATGGCCTTGGTGTATGGTGCACAGGCTAGTAGATAAACACAACATATAGACAATTGTTTTTACATCAGCTGGCCGACAAGGGGCACATGGGATTTAGGACATACTCCGTTCCATCATCAAGTTGATGCTTCATCTCCAACCTTGAGATGTTCGATTAGTTAGTAGAATTAGCTTGTATAATATAAAACCAAGCTGGGATCCATTGGGATTTCTGCTGGCAAGCCACAGCTGGCGCAGGGCCATGTGGCACTTGGGTCGAATTCTATACATTGGCCACTTCAACTTCGCCGTCTTTGCTGCTAGTTGCGCATACCCCTCCTGATATCACATGGAGCATACCCAAACCTTATAAGCCTTAATTAGTGCCAATTATAAGGTTATATATAAGGGTCATTGATTCAGGGGACCATATGGGGTATCTAGCAAAGTTGACATAGCCTAATGCAGTCAGGTATCTAACATCTTCCATCCACTCTCGAGAATAAGGTGTGCTGCTCGGGCTGGTATCCACACCCCATATTCATACAGGGTACGCCAGTGGATGCTGAGGGCATTCATGGTCCACTTGACAAGCTCAAAAAGTTCTTTGTGATCATCCTGGGTTGAACTAAGGAAAAGCTAGGATCTAAATTGGAGCCCATAGTAGACTGGAACATATAAGCTAGCACCGTATTAACAGCCCAGCAGCACACAAGCTGGATCCACCAAGCTGTTGTAGCTCGTCTTGCAACCATCCACCCAAAACAGCGGTGTCGTGCCCCTTTCCAGCTCCCCGCGGAAATTGCTTCAGCCTCTATATAGGTCAGAAACTTCATTGTAAGTTGGGGCAACTGAGAACCGTTATAATTTGCTAAGCAGCTTGTTGATCTTGAACACCTTTAGCGAAAACGAGGTAAGAGATGTTGTTTTGTGGTGGGCACGGCACCACTGCTTAAAGCGGTCAAACCCTTCGGATAGCCCTTGTGAAAGCCATCGGTAACCGTGGTTGTCAAACATGCCGAGGCGAACGAGCAAAAGCACTGTCGACGCCATCATATCCTTGCCCCATCCGTTGATTGCATATGTATGGGCCGGGTCCGGTTTGGCCCAGCTTGCTGTAAAGCAGGATGGCATCGCACGTAGTGGTGATACACGATGTTTGAAAGGGCTCTCGATGGCAGCATCACGGGACCAGGTTCGAGTGCTACTAGTGGGCCCCAGATCAAACCAATCCTGAGCAAGCATTTGAATTGGGTGTGACCCTATAGAGCTATTACAGATTCAGGCTACGCAAAACCAAACCATAGTTAGCACGACTCAACCCAAAACCCAGATAATTACCTTTGTGGAACCCTATAATCTGTCCAAGTCTCTTCTCCTGGGCATAAGTGACAAATCCTTCGACATCCGAATCCAGTTTTCAAATGCAATGCTTTGCGGAGCCACGGCCAATCCCCTTTCAGTGAGACAGGCACAAACCGAAACTTGAAGACGTTCTCCCGGTACTTTACCTGATATCTTAATAAGGAACTATATAACAACTGGAGGATATACATGTAAGCTTTTGTAGGATCAAAGGGAATCAACCGTTGCATGATGACAACCTAGGGGCCTCGAGACCATCGTGGTACATGGCCAACACATCTTTTGCCAGGGCCTCATGGAGGTCATCCAGGGTTCTGTCACCAACGTAGATTTCGCTTGGTACCACGGTAACTAACAGACGTGTCGTGAAGCTGTGCCTCAAGCTGCTTGTCGAAACAAATTTAATAGGATTCACACTAGATAACTCTTAAAACGTATACCTGCTTGTATTAACTACACAAACCCATTCTGAAGCACATGTATAGAGGCCCGCTACTGTTGGTTACTGCATCACCTTTGTAGCTAACTAACGGCTGCCAGTTCAATACCATTATAGGCCGCTTCAGCTTGCCGCGTCCTTCATCTCCATGGTAAGCCACGGGAATGCAGAGTCCAGTGTCCCAGTCAGGGTGGTCATAAAGGTCAAGGTCGGGTCTCACATGTTTATAGCATGACCAAAAAGTTCGGTACATCTTCTTGAATTGTTCTTGCTGGGCTAGTGTGTGGCCTCCAAGTAGCATCTGACCCCCAGCTTTGAAGATGGATTTTGCCCATGCCGATAAATAAATGATGGGGTAGTTGACTGTAAGCTTGCATGGTTTGCCACATAGCTTTCGTACAAGTGTAGCTGTCGAGGACACCTCCACAGGAAAGGTCCTGCCTTGCCTGTGTATCAGGCTGCGCAGGTTTCGGCATCTATTTTTCTTTCCATGGCCACACCGAGCCATGCTTCTCAGCGCAGGGTCGTAGATACCTTAGCTGAACATAGCCCTGATAATGTACATTTGCATAACTTCAAGATTGGAGCTATATATGTTTGCAGATGAGCCACCATGTTTTTGCAACTTCTTGTCAGCAACCGAAGCCAGTCGAATGACACGCTCAGCTGACTCAGCCTTAAGTTGTGTAACCAGAGGACCCTATACTCATCAACAAAGCTACACTTTACAAGTTGAAATGCAAGCTAGGGACTCCCTGTTCGAAGCCAACAAACAACTCCTCGGCAAGGTCGTCATCGAAATCAGACAGGTCCGTCTCCAAATCTTGGCCAGGACAGATTAGGGGAAGGGTTGAGGTTGAAAGTTTCCAAGAATCGAACCTGGTTCAGCTTCGGCTTGCTGCAGAATACCTGCGTAGGGTTCATACTTAGCTTCGGGTATGGGAATTATAGTTTGGGGTGTACCATTTATTTGCTGGGATTTTGGCAGAAATAATGTATGGTCTGACTGCACAATTGTTGCCTTTTGGATCTGCGCATGGATGCTTTCATGTCCCCCAGGTTGCTAAAGCCATATGCTTTCACATGGCTTCGATTGCATGTTTCTGATTAAATGTTGTGCAGCAGCGACGCTGTGCAGGTCATGGCATAGCTATGTATAGTTCTTCGAAGGATCTTTAAAGCAACGCAGTCATGGACAGGCTTCGCTGCAAAACAACCACAAAGCTAGCTAGCATATAGCTTGCAAAGCTAGCAGCACACTACATCATGGCGTCAGCCTTGCCCTTACCCGGCTTTCCCTTCCCCGAAGCTTTGTTTTTGCTGGTCTTCTTCTCCTTCTTGTCCTTCTTGTTCTTCTTGTCCTTTGCACTGCGCATGGATCTCGAGGACTTCGATTTGGCTCCGGCAGTCGATGTCATCTTCACGGTCCTGGGCAGGTGAGCCTATTTAAGTTTAAGGCTAGCCACCCAAATTCATGGGTTACACTGGACATGCCTAGAGTTTCAGGGTCTGGGAGATTCGAGGGTTCAGGGCATCTATCGTACATCATGCCTAGATTTGGGGTATACTATATAATAGCCACCCTCCCCCACCTTTCCTCCCCATAGTGCATAGGCTTGTTCGATTAATATTTTGTCAAATATTGACACCATGATGGTTCTATCCTGGGATGCAGGCAAGACTCTTAGCCCTGACAACGTAGTTGCCCATCAGCACATCTTGCTTTGTGATCTCTGCAAACAGCTTGAGGAGCTTGTCATTGAAGGACCTTGGTTACATAAGGCAAGCAAAGAAGGGTTGATCTGTACATTAAATCCCCATTTAGCCAGTCAAAGGGACTGGGTCGGAATATTGGTTATGGCATCCGCTTGCATGGAAGTGAGCTCCTTGTAGTTCTTCTGCATGCCGCTAGTGGCATCGTCCAGCCTCTCCTAGGTACAGGCACTCAAAATCCACCAAGCTAGCTCAAACTAGAACTAGCCCAACTTAAGGACTGGAGTGTATAAACCGGTATGTAGAAATGCCATCTAGAGTCCAAAACATCTTCGCAGGAATCGACCTTCCTTCCAAGCACTTCCAGAAACTGGGGTAGGATAGAGATAGGCGCCACATTCTGAGCGACAGTCGGGAAAACGATCCTTGGGCAGGGGTAAGGGAAAACATTATAGCGCACAGCCAAACAACACACTAAATTTCTTGGCAAGACTCTTGAAGCTAGCCGACTGGCCAGCAATCTCGTGTTCCCCATTTGCACCATCCGAGGCACCGTTGGGCCCACGGGCGAGGTCTTCGCTGGAGGCATTGATATCCGGCATGTCGCTCTGGAACAAGAATCCATCTTCATCCTGCCCCAGAATTGTCAAAACTTTAGGGTTAAGCTAGGGCGACAGTTTTGTAGATAGAGGTTGTATAAGTATACTGGCCTGCACCTCGATGCTGCCATCCATGGAGATTTGAGTCCCGGTTTCGTCGCAAAGCTCAAATGTGTCTGTAAGCACCAAACGTGCTTCCTCCTCCTTGTGGATCTTGTTGACCCGCAACAAATTGTGAGACGCCGCCCACTGCCAAGCACTGGCGATTATGGGCCTATAGTCTAGTTAGTGCCAGGGATCAGGGATAAGCTCAAATTTTTAAAA